TTCTAGCTCTAGGTTGGCTGAACTCTGAGAGTTGTAGTTCACATGTAGAAAAACAACCCTTTCTACTTGGTTTAAACCTTAGCGAAGTGATTTTGCTTTCATTTTCCAGAAATTTTTCTGCAGCTCCAGGCATTGACTCACACCTTCTGGATTTTCAATCACATTTTGTATCACATTTTTTTTCATTTATGGGGCTTGATTCAGGGCCCAAGCACTGTCCTTGAACTATTTTTTACTCAAGGCTAGCACTCTACCACTTTGAGCCACAGCTCCACTATTTTTTTTTTTTTTTTGGTGGTTAATAAGAGTCTCAGGGATTTTCCTGCCCAAGCTGCTTCGAACCATAATCCCTTTGAATCATGATCCTCAGATCTCAGCCTCCTGAGTAGCTAGGATTACAGGTGTGAGCCACCAGTGTCTAGCAAGAATCTCAATTTTATGATACTAAAATATTGCAAAAATAATCACATGAAAGGATATTATATTCTAATCTTATATAAACATAAACTCAAAAATCTTAATAAAATTTACTCAGTGCACTTTGTGTAGACATATGTGTATGTATAAATAAAATGATCCATCACAAAACAGTGGACTAATTCCCTCACCAGCAACAAAGTCTAAATTTTCAAATAGGGTTAATGGGTTCAAGCTACAGTTCCAGCACAAAAAAGGGCAGGGTGGTGGTGGTGGTGGTGGGAGAATCTGAGTGTGGTCAGAGATAGGTTATTTTAAAATATGTAGTGAGGGGGCTGGGAAGGTGGCTGGGTGGTAAGTGCTTGCCTTGATGCATGAGGCCCTGGATTCCTCAGCACCACATAAGCAGAAAGTCAGAAGTGGTGCTGTAGCTCAAGTGGTACAGCACTCGCCTTGAGCTGAAGAGCTGAGGGACTGTGCCCAGGCCCAGAGTTCAGGCCCCACAACTGACCACCCCCTCAAAAAATGTAGTGAGTAGAAAAAGAATAATAGAGAGAGAAGAAAGCTTATGAAATTCAAAAGACAGCAAGTGAAGGACAACATGTATTTGTTGGGGGCACTCAAGAGAAATTCGAGAAAAGGGGGAGACAGCTGTTTTTAAAAAGAAACAAGGCCAGAAATCTTTCCAAACTTGGAAAAAGATACAAGTGTAAGATACAAGAAGATCAAAGACCTTTAATCAGATTCAATCCAAAATAAGATTACATTGTGACATAGCATGAACAAAACTTCAAGGGTGAAAGCCAAGAAAAGATCCTGGGCAGCAAAAGAAACCAAACATAGCATGTAAGAAAATTCCAGTGTGACACATAACAGACTTCCCAGCAGAGATCCTAGAGGCCAGGGAGGTTTGAGGACATATTCAAGGCACTCTTGGAAAGAAATCTACAAACCAAAGTTACTTACCCTACAAAACTGTCCTTGAAAACTAAAGGATACACGTCAAGGGTTTCATGAAGAAACATAATCCTACAAACTTCATCAGCACCAGACCTGTTTTACCAGAAATGCTAAATGGAGTTCTTCAACCTGAAAGAAAAGAACTTGAGAACATCAGAGAGGATAAAAAAACTTCCTGGTAAAATTATACACAGGATCGGATTTAAGAGGCACCAATAAAAAATGCCATTGTAGAACGTAAATCATATGTCTTTCATATTAAGGTTAAAGACAAGACTGCTAAAATGAATAACTATAAACAAGTTTCTACCAGATATGCAAAAAAGTTGTTGATTGTGACATCAAAATTCAAAATCCAAGGGTGCAATGAAATAAAATTACAGGGTTTTTGCTTTGCAATCGAACTTCGGGTATAAGTGTCATGACAACCACAAACCAAAAATTATGATAGAGATATAGAAAAGGATCCAAAACATGATCTAAGAAGAAACTGAAATACGGATACTGGGTCTAAGTGGCTCCATCTTGGCATCTTGGTGGATGAGACTTTCTTAAGACTCTTAGAGGTGAAATCCATTTCTTCTTCTCCACCCCCAGGTGATGGGCACTGGAATTCCTAGAAGCAGGGGCAGGGACTTGGGCAATAGATTCCTGGACCTGCCAGACCTGTACTGTGTTCTCGCAAGACTCTTTGAGCTTCCTGTAATCCTGTCCCTTGACCAGACCCTATGTAGCCCCCACCACCCCAATCTTCTCAGGTCACCATGGCATCCCTCCGCAACTGTCTATGAGAGTTGATCTCGTTTGCTGAGATTGTTTTTCTGCTCCTTCTTTACTACCCTCATGGCTCAGTTTCCTAACAGTATTAAGTCCATTGGAGGCTCCAAGTTTTTGAGGGATATGAGTCCTTCCACAGTCTCCTGCTTTCTAATAGAGACACCAGATTCAGTTTCTCAAAAGGTGTTTCTCTGTATCTTGAGATCGAATTCCCCTTAAAAAAAATCACTTACTTACAAAGAAATACTTTTTTTTCTTTGTGCTAGTACTGGGGCTTAAACTCAGGGTTTGAATGTTGTCCCTAAGCTTTATTTATTTATTTATTTTGCTCAAGGTGAGTGCTCTACCTCTTGAGCCACAGCTCTGTTTCTGGCTTTTTGCTAGTTAATTAAAGATGAGTCTCAAAGGCTTTCTTGCTTAGGCTGATTTTAAACCAAGATCCTCAGATCTCAGCCTCCTGAGTAGCTAGTTCTCCGGGCATGATTCACCAACATCCAGCCAAGGAAATAGTTTTGAGAGGAAGAAAGGAGCTACAAAACAGCTGGGAAGTCATTGATTAAATTCCTTTATCTATTAATATCTTGAATCTCAATGTTTCAGTCTCTCCAATTAAAATACTTCGTATGGTTATAGTAAATGAACAGAGTAAAATCAACGCTCAGCTGCATAGTGTTTACTAAACACTCCTGTCCTGTGGAGAAGAGAGACAAAGAAAAAGAACAGACAAGAAAGAATCCATGCAGATAGGAAAGTAAAAGAGAACAGAAGTCAATATAAGAGAAATTTAAGCCACAAAATATTTTCAAAAGATACAAAGAAGCTTATAAAACAATAAGGAGATGAATTCAGAATGGAAAGGTGCCTCTTGGAGGAAGAGGTCCCATCTTCTCAGAATGGAAAGGTGCCTCTTGGAGGAAGAGGTCCCATCTTCTCACAATCTTCTTTGTGTGAAGATGTGTGTGAAGATGACTCCGTCACATACAAGTAGAAATCCCCTCAAAACTACCACCAAAACCCAGTGGGGACTAACTAACTACTAGAGTAGAAGAATCCAGGATCAACATACAAAGGCAGTAACATTTTCAGATGACAACAGTCAATTACCTGAAATAGAAATGAAAAAAGCAATCCCATGCACAATAACTACTTTACACACAGAGTAGTGATTACTGGTGATGGGGAGTGTGTGTGTGTGTGTGTATGTGGCCTGGGTCAATAGTGAGTCTGGCAGATTTCTATCTCCGTGAACTGGAGAGTGCAGTAGGATGGTCGTATGATGGCTGACTATTGGGAGAGGGAGAGGCTCTTATTCCTAGCCCTAACTTTATAGCCCAGCAACGGGCCTTATGGTTCTTTATCTCTCCACTTTCACATCCATCTCCCAGGAGCTTCCAGAAGTCCCACCCAAACTATAGGATCCAGAAACAAAGAAGCAGGAAGTATCTTTTGTTGGAAAGTGTATGCCCTGAGCATCAGCCTGGAGGGGAGAATGGGCAATGTTCACAATGGATACTGAGTAATACAGCCCGGCAACCCAACAGGACATCAGTTATCTATCTCCCCTCTCCCCTCTCTCTCTGTCTTTGTCTCTCACTGTCTTTTTCTGGATATACTGAGGTTTAAACTCAGGACCTTTTTCTATTAGGCAAGCATCTTACCACTACAGCTACATCTTCAACAAATTCACTATTAGTTTCAATTACATGTTGCTTTTGGTGTGTGTGTGTGTGTGTGTGTGTGTGACAGTCCTTGGGCTTGAACCCAGTGTCTGGGCACTGTCCCTGAGCTTCTTTTGCTCAAGGCTAGCACTCTACCACTTGAGCCACAGCTCCACTTTTGGTAGTTTATTGGAGATAAGAGTCTCACAGGCCTTCCCTCCTGGGCTGGCTTTGAACTGCCATACTCAGATCTCAGCTTCCTGAGTAGCTAGAATTATAGGAATGAGCTACTGGAACCTAGCTTATGTATTTCTTTTACATTCATTTAAGTATTTACTATTTTGTTTCTTCTGTAGCTTTGAGTTTAGCTTCCTTTCTTACTTTTATTTTTGTTTGAAATTCCTTGAAGTTAGCTTATTGGTTTGGAACTTCGGTCATTGATTATATTACATTTATAGTTATACATTTCTTTATAAACACTTTGTAAATGTAAGCATCCAAAAGTTTTAGTATTTTTTTGTTTTCATTTTTATTCATACCAAAATTCTTTCTAATTTCTCTTGGAATGAGCTGGTATGAACTGGTGATATTGAAGGCACCAGTAAATCTGGGACTTCCCAGGACCTCTGGGAGTTAATCTCTGCCATTTATGGGCACTTTGAGTTTCTGAAGTCTCTTGAGGAAAAGGGTCATAAGAGGCTTTTAGACATGGCCTCAGGTAGCATGGGATGATTGTCTTGAATGCCCGGTTTCTTTGTTTTTGTTCTTTATGCCAGTCCTGGGGCTTGAACTCAGGTCCTGGGCACTGCCCCTGAGCTTTTTTGCTCAAGGCTAGCACTCTACCATTTGAGTCACAGCACTACTTCCAGCTTTTTCTGTTTATGTGGTGCTGAGGAATCAAACCCAGGGCTTGTGCATGCTAGGCAAGCGCTCTCCCACTAAGCCACATTCCCAGTCCTCTGCATGCTTGGTTTCTAACCACCTATCTAGAAATGTGTCTTTGATTAGCATTTTCCTTAATACTCTGAGACACCCACTTTTCTTTTGGAGCTCTCTATTTCAGGGATGTCTCCCAGCCCTCTAAACCTGAAAAAAGCAAAAAAAAAAAATCTCAGAAGTCAAAAGCAAATGATGCAGAAAGTTATGTTTTTATTGAAAAGCACATGTTAGAAATCCCAAAGAAAAGCAAGTGTGAGGAGGTGGCATCATCCATGGACCAAGGGTCTGGAATCACCCAGGAGAATGAATCTTGAAGGCGTAACAGACTGCACTCAGGTAAGATGACCCTTCGGGAAAGAGAGGACCGTGAGTGATGTGATCATGGAGAAGGTTTGGATGTCAGATTTGACCACTGTCCCTTTTGGTATCAGCTGAACCAACTCACACATATTAGTATGCTAGACCACCAGGAGTCAGCTGGGGATATTGCCTATGTTCCTTGCCTACAGGAAGCATCATTTTCCTTCATTGGGTTTCAGATTTCGCTCCTGGCATTATGAATATACAGTGGGGAAAAATGTGGTCTCTCCCACTCTAGTCAATTCTCTGATGCCACAGACAGACATCTTTCTCTGTATTCAGATCCCTTCCCTATATTCTGAAAGAAAGAGTGCAAATGAAGTCCTTGGACCTGGGCTCTCTGGAGAAGGACAGCTATACCCAAACAGCGATGCGAGCATGCTCAACAGTATGCAGAAAGAGAAAATATTATTTTTTATGCTTTAGCTCAATATAAGCAAGTAATAAAATTTTACTACTCTGGTGTCTAATAATTAGCAATACTTACACTATCAACTTATAAATATGCTTAAAAAAAGTTATTTTTTAAAGTCTAGGTAAAAGGAAACCATTGCAGATATTTACTAAGAGTAGAAATTCAGTGCCTAATGATAACCAAGGTAGCTTTTCATTCTTCTAATCAGGAGCCTAGCTCATCTACCTCTCCCACCCTCCACCCCTCCCGTCCCCCCAAAAAAGCCCTGGGAACACAGCACTTGTATTGAAGTAGACAAGAAGTCTCAATCCCATAAAATAATCCCATGAAGGCCTCATCTACCACTTCTAAACATCAGGGTAGGTATCTCTCCTGTATAGTATAGTAAGAAACTTACCTCCAAATCTGTCCTGGTCTTCAGCGTAATTACTGAAGATATTGCTCCATAGAGTCTTGGTATTTGATTTGAGCTCCCTTGACAAATTGCTGCTGCATTTGCTCGTCACTGGGATATTGTGATTGCCCTTTGAATGAGACCTGTCTCTCTTGGAATTTTGTGCCTTTCGTTCCCTGATATAAGGAGCTTCCCTTGGTTTTCATGTATTGACTAGTTCCCTTGAGCTGGGAAGCACCTTTGGCTCCAAGGTAGAGTGAGCTTCCTTTTGTCTTTATATATTGACCTGACCTTCCCTTGGCTTGGGTCATATCAAATTGTTTATGGACTTGTGTCTGTCCACCAGCATGCTTAGTAGCGATCAATTGGGCAGACTTTTGTTGGCTTAAACCTCCTGCCTGGCAAAGGCTGGCTTGTTTTTTGGCTACATAGGCCTGCTTAGTTTGTGTTTGTTGCATAGAAAGATCACTGCCCTGCATCTGGCTTTTAGTTTGGGTCAGAAAACTTTCTTCACTTGATATTCCTTTGGCGCCTTTTTGTCCAACATGCTGATGAGTTTTTTGTTGTGTAAGTAGATATTCATAGGATCTATCTGGCAACTGGCTTTTCGTCTGACCTAGTAATTGATAATAATAAAAAAAAAATGTTACATCATCTCCCACCTCTCCTTTCTTCCAAGCCTACCCAGACCTCGTGCATCAATTCATTTATGACCCTCCACCCCCACCGCCCCCCGCCCCCAAGACATCTGAATTCTAGTGAAGACTTGTTCTCATTAAGAAGAGGGGCTGCTGGAAACAGAGGTTTGGCTCAAGTAGTAGATTGCCAGCCTTGAGTGTAAAAGCTAACGGACTGCGCTCCAGCCCTTGAGTTCATGCCTTCGTACCAGCATAAAAGAAGAAGGGCTGCCTTGAAGAAATTTCTGCTCAGCCCCAGAATAATAACCTTAGGTGGAGGGTCTGCTCCTTGAAGTATCTTTCCCTTGCCCAAACCACCCCACTCACCTTGGAACGCAACACCAGCTGCTTGCTTCTCCAGAACAAAGAGCAGAGAAAGGATGAAGATGATGGTGGACTTCATCTTGCCAATATGAGTCTTAGCTGAGAGCTGAGGGTGGTTTCTCATTTATATCTTCCTGGACAGGGTGTATCAAGGGTGTGGCTGAAGCTAAAAAGCACTGCCCTTTCTTACTTTAATGCCAGCCTCCTCCCCTCCTCTCAGTTGGGGGCATTGCTGATGTCCCTAGGGAACGTTGAACAGGGACACAATGTGAGAGACCTTTTCCTACTCCCATACACTCCAGAAAAATCTTTATCATTATCACAAAATTATAACACAGAGTTTCTTGTATTAAAAAAAAAAAATTAACTACCAAGTGGGGATGAGACTTCAAGTTACAAAAGTAACCAGAACCTGATCACACTTTCCTAGTCCATGCTGCCATGGTTCAAAGGCTCCATTCTAGATCTCAGCCTTATGGCTCTGTTGGCTTCCAACTAAGCCAGAAATGCTCTTTTACCAGTGTAGGAGCAATCCTAGTTGATGAAAGACACAGAAATCAAAAGAACTTATGGGAGCCAAAAGAAAGTTTTAAAAAGATGCAGTGGGTTTGAAGGATGTATTTGCATGGTAGGACAATTTTTTGTCATTTGATAGACCCTCTGTTTGATCCTTAGCTCTAAAAATAAAGGAATGACTGGGACACATATCCAAAGCTGCTGTGAAGTTCCTAGCCATCACAACTAGCATGTGCCAAAAGCTGCCGAATACTTTATACCAGAAGAAGCAAGAAATGTTGGTTTATCTGTTGCATTGATTATATTAACATTTAGGAGACAATACAGTTTTGGTGGGTTGTCAGCTGAAGAATGGAGAACAACTACAATCTTTTCAAGAAGTTTCCATGAACAGTGGAATGTGAGTTGAGGCTCTACTGGTGGGCCAGAGAACTGAAGAGGTGTCTTAAATGGTGATAGAAATGACAAATGGAAAAAGAAGGAAGAATATGGCTTCCCCCCAGTCATTGGCCCATTCTTGTAATTCCACATGCTCCAAGGGCAGAGATAGGAAGATCGCAATTTCAAACCAGCCCAAGGAAAGTTAGTGAGACCCTATCTCAAAAACAAACAACTGGGCTAGGAATGTGGCTTACAGTGCTTGCCTAGCATGCATGAAGCCCTGGGTTCGATTCTTCAGTACCACATACACAGATGGCATTGTGGCTCAAATGGTAGAGTGCTAACCTTGAGCAAAAGAAGCTCAGAGACAGTGTCCAGACCCTGCATTCAAGTCCCAGGACTGGCAAAAACAAAAACAAACAAAACAAAACAACAACAAAAGGCTAGGATTGCAGATCAAGTGGTAGAGCATTTACTTGCATAGCAGAAGGGTCTGGGTACAATCCCTAGTACACACACACACACACACACACACACACACACACACACACACACACACACACAGTCACAGAGCAAGCACTAGTTTCCTTATTGGGTTGGATTCTTGTAATGAAATCAACTTTAAGTATACAGTATTTGTGTGTGTGTATGTGTGTGTGTGTGTGTGTGTGTGTGTGTGTGTGTGTGCGTGTGTTGTAGAAATTATCTTTAAGTGGTTGTACAAAGGAGTTTTAATTCAACATGTCAGTTTATGAGTATAATGTATCTTGATCAAGATCACCACTTTCATCCTCCTCCTCCCCATCACAGTATGGTTTTAAGGCAAAAGATTTCCAGCAGAGGTACTAAACTATTGCACTTTCAAGATTTTCCACTCGTGATGAACTTGTTAATGTATTGAAGTAGGAAACAAAGTGAGTACTTTCACCTAATGTACAATGTACTTTCCTGCCATTGTGACAATGTGACATTGTAACAATACCATACAGGGTCCCCTATGGCATTCTTCTCATTGGCTGATGAAGACTGTGGTATGGACACCCCACAGAGAAGAGCAGAGAACCCTCACAGGGAGTCAGTATGCATGGAGAGCCATGGCAGGGAGGGGGCATATTCTGGAGGGAAGAAGGCTTGAAATCTATCCTAAAATCCTAATCTGTCCTAAGGAGTGCTATAAGGAAGAGGAAAGGAAATAATCAGCTATGTTTTTCAATTAGCACAGATGGATAAAAAATAGCCTATCTATAAGACATGGGAGCTATGCACTTTGACTCTGGACTATGCACTTGATCGTTTACCAAGGTTCTCTTTGTTCTAAGGACAATGATTTCCCTCAGGAGAGATGTCAACAGATTGAGGTGACATTATCCTGATGTAACACTGCTTTCCATGCTTGGCAATTGTACGACTCTACAACTACCACTTATTTTTTTTAATTTTTTGAATGTTTCTGGGTTTTAAAAATGTTTCATTTTTGAAAAGATTTTTATGATCTTTAAACAGTTGTACAAAAGAGCTGCATTCAACAAAGCAGTTTATCAATATAATACATCTTGATGTCACTGCTCATCATTTTATTATTCTCACTCATCACTCCCTCCCAACCTTACCCCTTCCCCTACTTTTCTTTTCTTTTTTTTCTTTTTTCTTTTTCATTGGTCATGGGGCTTGAACTTGGGGCCTGGGCGCTGTCCCTGAGCTCTTTTGCTTAATGCTAGTGCTATACCACTTTGAGCCACAGCTCTGTTTCTGGTTTTCTGGTGGCTTATAGGAGATAAGAGACTCGTGGACGTTCCTTCCGAGCCTCCCGAATAGTCAGGATTACAGGCGTGAACCACCAGTCTCCAGTTTTCTTAATTTTGTAGGATATACATTGAATCTGTGCCTGCATTCCCCCTCCCCTTCTTCTCTTCATTCATCTTTCCCCTCCCCTTGACCTCACCTCACCCCTTTCAAGTATTCATTTCCCGGTGTTCCTTTTGTTGCACTATGATTTTTCCTTTCTAAGGAATTACACCGTGTGAGATCTTCCCTAAATGTACTGTATTTCAATTAATACATTATGTACACTTGTATACCATCTAAGGTATTTACTTGTGCATATATATAATCCAATTCTGCCTTCCACATGAAAGAGAAAACATGCAAACTTTGTCTCCCTGGGCCTGACTCACTTCACTTATCATGATGCTTTTTTCTAGGTTCTTCCATCCACTTCTTTTGAAAAAGGACCTAGAGCCATCTCTTTCAGAGCTTACTAGCAAAAGGATCTGATGGGCTGGGAAGGTGGCTCAGTGGTAGAGCGCTTGCCTTGCATGCATGAGGCCCTAGGTTCGATTCCTCAGCACCACATAGCAAAAAGAAAAAAGCTGGAAGTGGCACTGTGGCTCAAGTGGTAGAGCACTAGCCTTGAGCTGAAGAGCTGAGGGACAGTGCCCAGGCCCAGAGTTTAGGCCCCACGACCGGACCACCCCCCCCCCAAAAAAAAAGGATCTGATACCTTTTGATTATATCTTTGGATAAAAAAAGAACATCTTTTGACTAATGCAGTGTGCAAAAGGTACAAGTAAAAGCCAAGGGGGTCAAGATTTAATACTCATATCAGAAGGAAATGTATTGAAGTTTTAAAATATCATTTCAAAATTTGCAATGCAAGTTTCTAGTAAAAATGAAAGCAGACAAAAATAATTTAGGAAAACACGGAAGAAAATGAGCAAATAACATGCCATAGGTATTGTTTCTTGATAGGTAAAGAAAAAACTCTTCCTGAATAATTTTTTAAAAGTAAGACAGCTTAAAATGGGTATCATCTGGCTGGGCACTGGTGGCTCAAGCCTGTAATCCTAGCTACTCAGGGGGCTGAGATCTGAGGATTGTGGTTCAAAACCAGCCTGGGCAGGAAAGTCCATGAGACTCTTATCTCCAATAAACCACCAGAAAACCAGAAGTGGTGCTGGAGTATAGCCTTGAGCTGAAGAGCTGAGGGACTGTGCCCAGGCCCAGAGTTCAAGTCCCAGGACTGAAAAAAAAGGGGCGGGAGCATCATCTGACCCAAGAATGGAAAATGGCATGTTTGGTGAATTAAAGGTGTTTTGTCTTTTCTATGCAGATCACTTAGCAAGTAAGAAAAGATAATAAAATGGATTGTGCTGAGGACAGAATAGAAATCAATACTGTTCACATATCAGAAAAGAAGCACAGAGGCTATCTAAAATCCGGTAACCTGGACTCATAAAGTGCCAGGCCCAGGGGGTCAAGTTCTGCCAAAGGAAAAACTTGAGAATAAAATTGTCATGGAACATTTACGCAGGAAGTTCTCAAGACTGTGGGGAATGTTTCCCTCTCATCCCCAACCCTTATAACCACACTTCCATGTGTTCTATGAATTTCATTATTGTATACTATGTATAAATGAAACAATATCTACTCTTTTGTATCAGTTTTTAAAATTTAACATAATATTTATAATCTCGATTTTTATTTCCTTTGCTAGTCTATAATTGCTTATATACATAGACATAAATTTGGTTTTTAAAACATACAATTGTAGCTTTGTTAAAATTACAGGCCCCCTTTTGTCCTGTAGAATTACCCTATGAATGGTGATCCTGATATAATTTGTTTTTGGCATGGTGGTTCCTGTTTGTGTTTGATGCATTTAAGTCTATTTTATGAAGTATTCATTAATAAGGATACATCAATAATGTATACAAAGTATAATAGAAATGCATATATATTATATATACACATATATGTATGTATATACACAATTTCCTTTAAGCTGATGTCATAATTTGAGTGCTGTGAATAGTGTCCTTGTGAACACAGATATCCATATGTCTCTATAATAAGCTGACAGTGATGAAAAAAATTTTTTTTTGTTAGTCAAGGGCCCTTGCCTGGACACTGTCCCTGAACATTTTTGCTCAAGGCCAACACTATATATGCCACATTGAGCAACAGCGCCACTTCCAGTTTTCTAGTTTTCTATCTCTAATTATAGAGATAAGGGTCTCACTGGGACTTTTCAGCCCTGGCTGGCTTTGAACCATGAGCCTCAGATCTCAGCCTCCTGAGTAGCTAAGATTACAGATACAAACCACCAGCACCAGATGTTTTTTTAATATTACCCAGAAGTAGTATGGCTGGATCATATAAAAGTTCTTTCTTGAAATTTTTTTTTAGCAATTGTTACTATCAAGGTGATGTACAGAGGGGTTACAGTTACACAG